ATGCATCAGTAAAGCTAAAGGTAAAAAGACGATTTATATCAAAGAGCTCTGCACGGCAGGGCAGCAGTGCACTGGATATTACAGAAGGATAACAACATAGCAACAAAGTAGAAACCCATGGCTCTAGTTAACAAAAGCATGCACTCATAAACATGAAAGTGCAGAAAGCAAATATCATAAATACTTTCCATCCTCTTTTGGGAAATGCAGGTTATTTAATAGCTCGTGACTGGATACTATGCTTACATCTTCAGGACCCTCCAGTGAAAGCATTCAAATGAGTTAGTAGTAGTCAGTCTGCTAGACTGAGACTTTTCTGGACATTTTTGGATTCAGCTGAAAAAATAAAATGAGTATCATATAGAGTATTGTAACCTACGAAAAAGGATATCATTTTCTCTAGGCCCTCAGAGTCAGAACCCTGCTTAATGACAGACTGCTCTGCATGCTCAGTATGTTTCCACTCATTAATCCTTGCAAGATCTGGACTGATAGATTGCGCACAATCAAACATAGAACAAAAGTGGGACTTCCCAACAGAATGACTTACAAAGGTTATTCTAAAGTGGCACCTCTAAAGTAGTCCTTGTCAAGGGAAAAGAGATCTTCAAAAGAAGAGAACAAGGGGAAACTGTCATACAACCTTTTTTGCCTGACTCACATCCTTAATATTGCTATGCAGACAGTTTTAAGGATTTTTTTTAACTGTTAGCTTCTTTCTGCAGCCCTGCTAAGACTGGGGAATGTGAAGATGGCAGATGAGCTCCGACAGTGGGTTAGCAATTAACACAGTTGATGTAGTTAATGTTATTCCTAGCTGCTTTTGGTATTACTGATTTCATAGATTGTATTCTTTTTATTCAGTATGGGCAGTTCTTGCTTTAGTTTTACCTTCTTTTGAATATTTGGTTCCTATTTTTATCAGTTTACATGTGCTTACAAGAAAAAGATAAGTACAGGGGATTTTGATGGGTTTCTTGAGAGGGATGCTCACCGTTCATGATACATTGCTACTTTTTTGTGAAGAGTTTTGTTTAAAGATGATGCAATTTACTTTTTTAGACTCTGAAAAGGACCACTTTGACAATGCTATTTAATTAGTTATGGGTTAAGGGGTTATGGGTATGGAATGCATATTTAGCTTCATTTTCAGGATGTTAATATTTGAAAGACTTAGAACAATTTTCCTGCTAGACTTTCAAAATGTGCCCTTTATTCTGTGAATATTCCGTAAAATGATACCACTGACATGGAGAAAACATCTGAACAAACAATAATCTTTATAAGCAATCTATTGGACAAACACTACAGGAAATTGATGTCACCAAATATATCTGTACTGTGTATGTGACCCAGTCTTTCTCCACCCGTAGCTATTCCCAGAAGAAGAAAAACTTCTGAATTCAGTTTTTATGGTATCTATTTATTCCTTGCTCAGTCCTAGGACTATCTAAGAAAAAGTTCCACTGATGGAAACTTTCATGTGTTATTTTTAGAAGCAATCAGAATTTATCTGAATATCTGAAGCAATAGTGATTTTAGTGAAAGCAGACCTCTGTTGGAAACATTTGAAAATTCTGCCATCATTCTTTTGGAAATGAACAAGTAAACAAACACCCTCTGCTTGCAATAATATCCCCAAAGAATATTTCATTGATCTATTGCTCTATCTTGGATTAAGTCATTATACTGGTGGAAAGATGCCAGAGTATTAATATTATTTGATTTTTATATATAAATATATAGAAGAAAAATGGAGGATAAAAGAGAATGCAGTTCAAAGGAAAAGACATGCTGACTTTGATGTTTCCCACAGGTGCAGATCCATTTACAACAATGGCCCTTTCTGAAGGGTTTTGTATTATTTAGACTTCCAGCATTAAGATCTTTTTTGGGTTTGGTTTTTTGGTGTTTTTTTCTTTTTTTGAAACCATTCAAATTGGAATATTGAATCTTGATTTTGTTTTACTATCTGTTTAGCAAGAACAGAGTTCTCAGACCGATTGGTATAGTTTTTTTATCCATGCTCATCTGGGTCAAGTTTAGAGATCTTAAGTAAAGGGATATAGCTTGTCCATAAATTGTTCATGCAAGGGTCATAGAAGGGGAAGCTCGAATTCTTATATATACACATACATAAATATATTAATTTATAAATATACATATATGTGTCAACATACGTGGAGTGCCAACCAGTGTAGTAAAAAAAAAAGGGGAAAGCCCCAACAAGCCTTTAATCCCACTTAGTTGAGTCTATGTTTCTATGAATAATTTCTCAAATACAACAATAGCAACAAGATAATGGAAAAAAAAAAATTGCATTTCTACTCCTTTGCTCCCCATGCAGAGATAGCTGACAGTAACAAAGGCCTAGCAATAGACTGTGTTCTACTTAGACATAAAGGATGTCTAGACATAAAGGCATTCAGGACCCCATCAAGAACAGGGTAAAAATCTTGTCATAGATTATTGGTGCAACTATCATGAAACCACTAAATTATTGTCAGCATACTAGATATTTAATGCATATTGAACCACATTTTAGTGCTGCATCATGATGTCAGTCAAAATGAAATTCAGAATAGTAATGTTGCAGAATTTAGAACAGCGTGACTAGTGAAAATGTGGGTCAGATTTAGCACATCTGGGAATGTGGAATAACAAAAAGCAGGTAATCAAACTACTACATGAAGTGCATCCCTCTAAGGGAGATACTGCTTGGGAAACTGTGGAAGCACTGAACTCAGAACTTAACTTACTTATTGAGACTTTAGGAGCCACTTCATACAAAGTTTGGATCCGACATGACTGAAATCCTCAGTCAGTCAGGATACAAGTATGAGCTGAAATGTAAACACCTTTCATTAGACACTTCAGCTCTCTGTCTTGCATCTGTAGGTCACCAAACTGAGCCCTGAATCATCCTAACAGATGGGAGTTTGCAGATTGATGTTGCCTTCTCTTTCCCTTGGTTCTGTGTGTGATGATAGAGACTGCCTCCCAGTGACATTAGTTAGCAAGCAAGAGATTCTTGTAGCAACCCCAGATCTGTATGCCTTTACTTGTAACGAGTACTATGCTATTCATAAGCAGAGGCTTGGTGTGAGAAAATGCTGCACAATGGCTATCCGTTAAAGTGGACCATTAAATGATGTTGTTCAGCTAACAAAAGCACCAAACCCATTAGCAAATGTGATGAGCTCTATTTCTGTTCCTTAAAAGTGGAAGAAAAATGACTGTTGATATTTATAACTTAGTTGCAGTAAACATGATGCTTCATAAAAAAAGGATCAACTTACAAGATGAGAGAAAGGTGAGAAAACGGACAGGTTTTTGAATTGTTGAAACTCACACAAAAAGTAATGTCTTCGTCCTGAACCCATTTATAAAGTAGCATATTTTTTCCTCTCAAAAATACATGGGATGCTTAATTTATGGAATATCTAATATTTTAATATTGTCCAAGGACCTATGCTCCCAAGGATAATGGATCAGTTAGCTACCTCTGCAAACCAGAGGAGCATGACCAAGAAGTGGCAAGATTAGTTGACATCACAAAGCATGGTCTGTGGGCTTTATAGAGGATTTAGTTCTCAACTATGTACATCAATAACTTTTCTCAGTCATCTCCTTGATTGCCACCTTTATTAAACAATAATAGTCTTGTAAAACAAACATGATATGCCACTTCCAGCAATTATAGCCTCTTAATAAGGAATTTATAATACCTTCTGCTATAAAACTGAGGTAGAAAATCCTGGCTCCAAACTTTACTATGTATAGTCATAATCACTTTTAGTTTATAACTCGCTGCTGTGTGTTGCTGAAATACTTGGCTTTGGGTGGTGATGGTTAAGTAAGTGTACTGCATATAGTACAAGGCCTTAGGATACTGATTTACTGAGTTACCCAGGAAGAAAATAGGAATAGATAATAGTGTTAGGTTTGTTGCCTAATATAGCACAGGCATATTTATTACATTAATTAACTTTGCAGACTTTAATAGAATTTTCTTTAGAAAGTTACACTTTTTTTTTCTACTTTCAGAGCTGTAACAGTATTTACATGTTTGCAGATTAGAAAACAAGAACAGTTTGTCTGGATTTGATTCAAGTCTTTATAATCCTGTTATACACATTTTTCTTCCCTGCATTCATAAAAAGCTGCAAGTTGATAAACATCACTTACTTGGCACAGATCAACCATTTTCCAGGCCATATACCTGAGAACAGTGCAATCTACAAGCCAACTGCAGCAGCTATTTTAGTTCATATAATGGAATATGTGTCTCTAACCTCCTCTAATCAAAAGTGAACAACATCCCTTGCTATGTGAAATGGGTTTATTGCCATATGGTAGCTGATTGGCAAAGTGGTAAACTCCTAGAAGTTCAGTATCATGGCTCTTAAATGCCAGGGGCTCTGGTCAGCTCCATGGGAAGAAAAGCAGTAGCTGTGCACTAGTACCCTGAGCCATTCATCTGCTCTATGCCCTCAGACTTTGAATGTTTATGCTGGGAACACAGAAGGAATGTAAAGAATACCTATAGGATGCTGGAGGCTTATTTTCTTGGTGGAACAAGCTGCCTAACCATGTCTTTTTTTCCTTCTTTTCCTGCTTGTTGACAAAAACTAATAGACAAAGCAGACAGAGGTATCTCCATTTCTGGCATCCTCAGCACAAGCGTGATGAAAGGATGTTCAAGAGGCAGCTGACTAAGCCGGTTATTTTTAACAACAGAACTACCAGTGGACATTTCTGTGCCTGTCATGTTATCTAGGGCTTTAAACTAACTTAAAAAATCAATTCCCATGTACTGAAAAGAAACTGAGAGTGCCCAGCAGGCCAAATTGCAGAAAACTTGACAATTTAATATTAAATTATATTGTAAATACTATAATCTCTCTTCTCACTCCTCGCACATATTACTCATTGAGACATATAATAAGCTGAATAGAAACTACTCATGTATAAATTTCTATAGGAAATGTACAATAGGCTTTATTAGTTGATAGTATAATGTGTAATGTCAGATTTTAGCTAATGCTTCAGTGGCTAATATTTCTTTTGCTGAGCACTTATATGTCTGTGTCCTTCTCTGGTCTTCACTTGGAGAACTAGTATGGAAAAGATTTACTGGTTATCTAGGTTCTATGTACACAGAAGGAGGTGCTTTTTCATCCCCAGATTGAAGCTTCCAAATTAATCTGTGAGTATGAATCACTCTTGATCTATCATTCCCCAGATTTCTGGACAGTATGAAATATCAGTCTCAAACTATCTTCATCTCTAAACTCTAAATACCAAAAATTTCTTAATTAACTCACTGCTTAAACTGATACTGAATGAGGGAATATAAAAACTAGGGAACTGTTCATAGTATAAATCAACATACTTCCTGTACCGAACACATTCCATTAAAGCTCACATTCTGTGCTTAGAGACTCAAGAATTTTTACTCTTCCTTTCAGGAAAAAATTCAGGAGAATAGACAGAGCGACATTTAAATTTCTAAAATCATTAATCTACATTTTAACCAGCTGTAGTTTCACTTCTTTTCTGTTTATCTTCTCTTTTGGTTTCAGTTCTCAAGGTCATTTTCATTGGTTTCCAAAGTCTTGGCTTTTTTGTGCAGCAAGTTAGATGAAGAGCTAAATGATTATTTTGTAGTAAGAAGATGAAAGTTAGATGAACCTTGACATATCACTCAGGGTATAATTCAGCAGTGAATTCATATCATCAGGATTTATCTACTTTAGAAACTAAACAGTTAACCTAATCATCTCTTTTTATTGCTAATTTAGAAAAGCTTTTTTTCCTAAGTACACTCTCACTTTTCTGAATTCACTGCATGTGACCTGCACCTTTTGTCCACTGCACCATTACCAGCAGCTAATCCCTCTTATTTATTGATAATTGGACAAAACTGAACAACATGCCAACTCCTGAAAACTGAACGCCGCTAAAGGCCTCTATTCAGGTTTTCTTCCAAAACCACATTAGTTTCCAAGTTCACTTCCTTTGTGGAATATCAATGGGAAAAGAGTTTGCAATTCTCTCATGGCTTAGGAATTCCACTAATTCTAACCTGCACATTGCATAACCATGTGAGATGTAGGAACACGATGTACTCGGGCTCAAAAATGAACACTTGTAAAACAGGAAAGAGAAAACTTATTTAATGTTTTGCTAATCAATTTGGAACTTGCAATGTTCATTTGAAAACAAACGATTGTTGTTGCAGTTATGTTGGTCAATGGGTAAGTGGTAATTAAGCAATCAGTATTTGTGAAATGTGGTCTGACCCTTAAAGTTTTAATCACATTTTTCATCATCATTGTTTTTTTCAAACACAACCTGCATTACTGATGCTTTGTCAAATAATCACTACAACATATTCAAGGTAATGTTGAACTTCTTACAACCATGTGTTGCTGGCAATTGTGTTTATCTACAGGTTTATATAGGTCAATTACTTGGTGCAAAGTGCATGAGTACACACTGGGTCGAAGAAAACAAACAAAAAAAGTGGCTGTAGGAAAAATTGTAGTTCTCACCAATCTGCAAGCCTCCTAAATAGCAGCTCCCCATGAAAAAAATTGCCATTTAGAAGCAGAAGCACCAGTGAGCTGTGCTGAGCATCCCCCTTCAGCAAAATATTCTTTCATGTTTTTATTCATTTGCCCAATTTCTGTACAGCCTTTCCAATACCCAGCTATACTGATCTAAAGATGAAGCCACAAGCCTCCTCTTGCAGAAACCAGGGAAGAGAATAAAATTCCTCTGTGGCATTTGACAAGACTGTCTGTATGTGAAGTCCTACACTGAGGTACCCAAGCAATTTGGGAGTGGGTTATCTTTGGAGCAGGAGGCACTGCATATGGGCTTATTAGTCCTGTCTGTCAGGGCTTTGATACTTTAATGTGGTTTTATAGCTTCTGCGTCACACGCTCATATTCTTGCTAAACAGACTTACCAGCTTGCTCAGAGTGTGCTAGAGTACGTCTAACACAGCCTTTCACTGTGAGGTGTAGGCACATTCCAAGAATCTCTGCTTGCCATTACTCAATTTGGGAAATGGATACGAGTAATTTTTCTGCAGTGAGGCTGGCTTTTAGCTAGGGAATTTAAGAAACAGCATCACAGAGTGATCATTCAGAAGCAGATGAAAAGAATATTCTCCATCACCATTTTTTTTTTTTCTCTGTCAGCTTCCCTGGCAAGAAATCATGTCTCATTTTTAACAAATGGATTTTTTTTTAAAGAAAAAGTGACTGTTCCCAAACATACAGTCTTGAATGAAGGGGCACAAAGAAACATTATTTACACATGGTGTGAAATGGAGTAATTTACAATTTTTAATCTCGCAAATAATTTCAATCATATATTCAGAGCATATAGCCATTGTCTGTCAACTTTAGTTTCAGAAATTGGAGAGTATAATGGCTTTCTTTGCACTTGGGGGTGTGTGTGTGAATGGCATTGTTAGGTTTTATTTACAGAGAAGCTGGAGTGTCTCCATAACACAGCATGCATATCAGCAAAAGCCAAGAATAGACCCTTGCCCTCTATCTCTGAGAGATGTTGCAGCCAAAGTATAAAAACCACCCAGTAATAATCTCACAGGGACAAAAGACATAAATATGATCAAATTCTTTAGTCATTTTATGTTGACAGGCTTACTGATACCACTGATGGAGTTTCATTAATTTACATAGGCAAAAATAATAATTCACTTTGCTCTCACTGGAGTTAATAGGAGGAGAAAAAACTTTCTACCAATCGTATACATAAGAGCAAAACTAAACTCAAAAATATCCTCACAGTGAACTTAATAACTTTATTGTTTTACAGTCTGAATTATTTCAAATATATTTAGCAAAAGATTAAATTTAAATGTACAGAAAAATCAAAAGCTTAGAAGCAAAAGCTTGTAAGCTTACAAGAACATGCAAAGAGTAATTATACTATACTCCCAAGTCAAATAAAGCACATACTAATTATCTGTAATTTAAAAATCATGACAGGAATTTTCATCAAACCTTGCAGAACTTGGCCCTTACCCTGACATGAGAATAGAGTAAGTAAATTTTACCACAGGAAAAGTTACAGTTGAAAATATCTGAAATCTGCATGATCATCAGTAGCAACTTAATCCCACAACCAAACAAGGAGATAAGTTGTTTTTACCCACCTCTTCCTATTTCATGAACTTCTTGAGCTGCCATTGCATCCCACAGGAGAGAAGAAAGGTGCTACTGTGTGGCCTTTCCATTTCTGAGAAGGGGCTAAGCGCAAGTTATCTATTACCCCTTGTCCTATCGCTACAGTCCCTAATGAAAAGTCCCTCCCCAGCATCCTTGTAACCCCCCTTCAGATACTGGAAGGCTGCTGTGAGGTCTCCTTGTCCATAGGGGAATATGCTCTACTAGAGCTAGTAGGGAATAACTAACTCATATTCAGTAGTTAATATCCTTACTTTTACAGTGGTTGCCAGTGATGATCCAGGATCCTTGCTTTCAAGTGATGAAAGTGGTTAGTGGTGTTAGAAAATTTGCTGGTATTATTAACCCCAACCAGGATGTATTTGTAGGCTTAGTCATATTCAGAAAAAATCTCATGTTGTTCAATTAAAAAATTATTTCTGCTTTGTTTTAAGAATGTTGCTTTCAGAATATTCTCCATATATTTAGGAGATATGCAGAACAATGATTGGTATGAACCCAGAAATGAGGTATGTGAAGTAACTTTGGTCCAAAATTAACCACTCTATATAGCATAGTGAACTGATTTGGGAAGTTACCAGATGTCAAGGTTTGTACTAAACCATCCCAAACCCTGTTTTTTTAAATACAGACTTCTAAATCCATAATTATCCAACTAGGAGATAATCACGTTGTGTAAGTTTAAACAGCTAATTTTGGTGCCTAGCACAGATGATGTGTCTTCTTATAGTCCATGGAGAAACCTGAAAATCTGAGTTAGGAGCCTGTCAATTTCCAGTGACTGTAGGTTTTGGATTAAGAAGAGTTTATAATGTCAATACATTGAGTAAGCTACCTTAATTTCACCAGTGTGAACATCTCCCTTGGTAAGTCACCATTTCTTCAAGAGAAAACAAATATTCACAACGCCTGATTTTAAATGGCAATTACAGAATAAAGGGAAGCCTAAATGTATACACTTGTATCATCTGATCAGCATTACTTTTGAATGCGAGTTCCATCAGTCTATTATGCAGGACTGGGAAGGATCAATTCTAACACAGGAGAAGTAAGATAAAGAGTAAGCGTTAACATAGCTAGCCACTCCCTAAACACAAATGCATGCCTTTGCTTTTACAGTGATTATAATTATACTAGGTTTCTTTTCTGCAGTTTCTCCCCTCCATGAGGAGTCACTGACAAAGTTTCCTTTAAATTTCAGCAAGTTTCTTTCTTTTCTCAGCTGCAAAGTCTATGTAATGGGAAAATATTGTCCTGAAACTGCCAAAAAAATGTTTTTCATTCTGACAATGGAAAGATAAATGCTTCACTTACCATGTAACTTTTATCATCAATTCAATCAATTCTTGACAGAGGACTGTTTGGTATTTAAAGGGACTTTACACTCATGGGATATTGAATTATCTAAAGATTACTGCTAAGGAAAAAGCAGAAAATAACATACTGGTTATGGAAACTAAATGTTTCTTGAATATAGGTCCTGGCTGCAACTTGCCTTTAACCTTGAGTGCCTCTTATTTCCTTTCCCAATAGCTATGAAACCAAGAAAAATTAGCAAAGTCCAAACTGGAGACACTGCAAATAACAGAGAGGGAAACCAAAACTGACTTCAAATTCAGAGTTTAAAGGGTTAAAGAAGTAATACTATTTAAACAGGGTTGCAGAACTCCTATTAAAAATGGCAGTACTATAAATGTTCTAGTATTGTCAGGAATGTTCTGTTGGATGACACTATACTGTGATTTGTACACACAGCGGACCAGAGCTGATGGGTGAATGAAATGATCCATAACCCTCACTGACACATTTAGAGCAGTTCAGCTGCACACAGAGAACAGTCCATCATTTGCACCCTTCTGTGAAAGCTGGCTTTACCAAGTGTTTCAATGAAATATGTGCAACTTCCCATTTAAATTAGTACCACATGAACCATGAAGAGCACCACAGGTATCTGTTGTAGTACCAGCCTAATGCAAAAGTGGCCTGTCTTGTAATGCTCTAACAGGAAAGACATACAACCATTCATCTGTAACATATTAAAACCAGAAGAAATAAATTACTCTATAGATGAAGAATTATTGCTTGTGGAGAGAATGTGCAAAGGTAGTTCTAAAAAGCAGCTTTTACTAAAAAATTATTGCAACAGCATTTGAATTCCTAATGCATATTAAACCTAGCTCACATAATCATAAATCATCATTTTTAAATCAAGAAAATCTGCTTGAAACTTTTTAAAGGTTTATTTTACTAGTTCAGAACTATTTCAGAATTGCAACTGAGGGAAGCACAGTAGGAGTGACTATAAGGGTGAAATATAAAACTTAAACATTTGCCAAGAAAAAGCTCTTTGGTCCTGAATTTTTCAAGTTTACCAGTCAGAGCTGCATTAGTATCTAAAAATACCTTGGGAACACGGAGGTGACTAAAAAGAATTGAATTCCTATGGATGGATTTGCCCTCTTGTGCAATGGCTTTTCTTAAATGGTCTCATGTTGTCTAGACAGTTAGGCAGAAGAGTTAGAAAAAGCAATGAATTTACCCAAATGCTACAAATTGTTTATATTGAATTAATTTTAATGGGAAAATTAATCTCTGCTCATTCCAAGCAAAGTACCTAATGCTTGATAAATCTTGAGCTGAACACAAACTAGTGTTCAGGCTGGTGAATACTTGGTACATTCAGAGTAGCTTGTAGGAACTGATGCAACCATCCTTTTTGCTATTGGATAAAGGATCAGTACCAGCATCGATAAAGAAACACTCCCACACCTACCCACCAGTCTAGATACATGTTACTTAGTGATAGTTCCAAACATAATACAAAGAATAAATGGGATTAGTATCTTTTAGCCCAGATTTTAAAAAGTGTGCCTTGAATTTCAACTACTGTATGCTAAAGTAAACTCTGGGAAATCAGTCTTGCTCCAGCTGCATCTGGTCAGAATATTTCTGTCGTCTCTGAAAATGAGACCTTTGTCTTCATTTCTAGCAGTACCTAGAAGGCTGACATCAGGTCCAGCCTTTCAGTAAAACAGGACATTTTGTACTGCTATCTGCCCTATATACAATAGCAATGTGTTATGCCTTAATGAACGTTCTTATATGCAAGTGTTCTTAATGTGACTTTTAAAGCAGAGTATCTACAAAGTACCTGCAGTCCAGAACTTGATCTGAAACCCACTTTGCAAAACCAGCTTTGTCCTGAACTGATGAAGCTGTATGCTGTGCTTCTCGCTTAAAATTGTCCATAACTGAAAAATGCAACTCAGTCTTGGCCTCAGGTACCAGGTGAAGACAAACAAATAAGCACATACCCATACTGCACATCCATTCAGGGAATAGGTGATTTAGGGGGATGCAAGGAGAGCAGGAATGAGAGGATCAAAAAAACTGAATCAGTCCTACCTAATAAGTAGGCTGCTCATACTAAGTAATATGTAAGTTCCATGCCTATTTAATGAATTTGTTTCCCCTAGGAGTGTTAGGCAGTACCAGTGAAACTCAAATGATAGCACGAGTAAGACTGTCTCCTGAAATTTTCCTCAAGCCATGTTCACTGCCCTTTGGTTCATGGCTCTGTGGTCTCTCAGACACAAATGTAAAGAAATGAAAAGCAATTTTGCAAAACTGCCACTTTTAGGTTGTGTGCAGTTAATTAAATAGAGTACTATCATAAGATATTCAAACAGCACAGGGGTGGAACTGCTGCAATTTTGTGAATGATATATAAATAATCTGAATGATTGAGAGTCATTTATATCACTAATCTTACTATAGCAGCTACAAAATACAGCTCCATGTGTCAGGAAACCTCTATAGTACTTCTCTCTTTGCTTAAAATAGCAGAATTTCAAATGCTAATGTGTGTAAAATAGTTGCTTTTACCCTAGATTCTTGTTTTAATACTGTGAGACTCAGATATGTGAGTTCATATCTGTATTTAATCTGAATGATATAAATGGATGGAGCTTTTAGCAACCTGGGCTAGCAGAAGGTGCTCCTTCCCATGGCAGGGGCGTTAGAACTAGGTGATTTTTAAGGTTCCTTCCAACCCAAACCATTCTATGATTCTACCATTTTGGTGGGTTGACCCAGCCAGCAGGTAAGCTTCCACCCAGCTCAATTTCTCCCATCAGGGTGAGGGAAGGAACTGGAAGGCAAAGTCAAGAAAAACTTGTGGGTTGAGATAAAGATAGTTTATTAAGTGAAGGGAAAATGGGTGGTAAAAAAACAAAAACAAAACCCCAGGTGATGCAAAGGCATTCACTCACCGCTTCCCACCAGCTGAGTGATGTCTAGCCAGGCTCCATGTAATAGCTGCTTTAGAAAAAACGCTTACCACTAACAGAAGTTTATTGCTGACCATGATGTAATATCGTATAGAATATCTGTGGTCTTTTTGGGTCAGCTGTCCTGGCTCTGTCCCCTCCCGAAATCCCACCTACTCTGAGTCTTCACCCTGGGTGGGAGCAGAATGAAAACCAGAGAAGGCCTTGGCACTGGGCAAGTGCTGTTCAGGGTAGCTGAATCAATGAAGTGGTATAACCATCACAAAGATAAAGAACAGCACCATACAGGCTAGTGTGAAGAAAAAGAATTCCATCCCAGCCATTCCCATTACATTGATTTTTTTGTTACAGTCATTATTTAAAACTCCCAGAAAAGATTCTCTTTGCACCAACAAGAAGTTTTCACATCAAAATTTCAAAAGCTAACCCCTGTATTTCAGATCAAAAAGTACATTTTATGTTGCTTTCTATATTTTTTTCTTCTTCTGTTTCTTTGTGGATAGGACAATAATAATAAGTGTTAAAAGATACATCAGTTTTATTATTGGACTCACCATCAGTATCATTGCAGAATCAAAGAATAGCTGAGGTTGAAAGGCATCTCTGGATATCATCCAGCCCTGCTCAAAGCAGAGACAGCTGCAGTAGGTCACTCAGGGCTATGTTCAGTTGGATATAGGATATCTCCAAGGTTGAAAACTCCACAACTTTGCTGAGGAATCTGTTCTAGTCTTTGACCATCCTCATAATAAAGATTTCCTTATGTTTAGGCAGAATTTCCTGATTTATGCGCATCACCCCTTGTCCTGTCACTGAGAAGAGCCTGGCTCCATGGTCTTTATTCCCTCACCAGGTATTTAGAGACATGGATAAGAGCCCCTTTGACGGGAAGTCTAGTCCCTTAATCATCTTCATGGCACTTTGTTGGACTGGCTGTAGTATGTCCATGTCTCTTCTGTAGTGCAAAGTCCACATTTGGATCAAGCACTCCAGATGCTGGGCAGAGAGAAAGGATCACTTCCCTCAACCTTCCATCGTTGTTCTCCTTAGCACAGCCCAGAAGGCAGTTGGCCTTCTTTGCCACAAGGGCACACTGTCATGAGTTTTTTCTGCCCCTAGTATGTACTGGTGCCTGGGGTTACTCCTCCACAGATGCAAGACTGGTCATTGTCCTCTGGTAAACTTAAAGAGGTTCTTGTCAGCCCATTTCTCTATCTTTTTGAGGTCCTTCTGAATAGCAATATAGCCATCTGGTGTATGAGCCACTGATGCAAGTTTTGTATCATCTGCAGACTTGCTGAGGGTGCACTGTGGACCATCATCCTGGTCATTAATTAAGATGTTTCACAGTATTGGCCCCCAGAGGTTCATATACCTGGCTCAGACACTCTACTGCCTGGCTTAACTGGTCATCCCATGGAGGTCAGTTGGTGCCAGATGGTTCAGAAGAATACACATGCACACACCAATCTCACAGGTAGTAAATATGAAATTATTTACTCCCGATACAAGTATCTGAGTAATTGCTGACAGACAGATATTGTCCTAAAGCAGTTTATTTTCTATTAAGCTACTAGAATCAGACCTTCCTGCTATCCATATAAATACATAACTTTTCTGTAAATCAGAGATGCCTAATGACAAGTTGCATAAAGATGCAGGCAAAAGTAATTCTAAATAAGTGTGCTTTTTTTCTAAAGAATGTCTTCTCTTCTTCCTTTTTTTTTTTTCATTTTTCTCTATATCTTTACAACTGTTTATAACCAGGCTACGACAACTAGATGCATGCTCTCTTCAAAGTATTTAGGAGCTAGGAGCAGACTGAATTGTCACCTTCATCTCTATCCTTAGGTACATTATGGACAATATCATCACCATCATCATCCTCTTTTTGGATTGGAGTGATGGTCTTGACAGCAGCTGCTTCCCATCACCAAGGAGATGAGACAAAATAGTCTGGAGCATGACATAAATAAGGGGGGGGGGGGGAAGACATTTCTTTCTCTTAATCTGAGATTCATGTTACATGTCATTAGACTTCACTGGTTACACCTTAACTAGAGCTGTGGCAATCAGCCTGAATTGCGGAAAGTTTGGGTCAAATTCTAATCTTATGAAAAGTCTTCTTAAAAAAATGAAACCTGAAAGAATATGTAATTGTGACCTAGAATTAAAAATTAAATTAATATATTCTCTGTCATGTGATTCTATTGTATTGTGGAAATAGAGTAATGCATGATTACAAACTGCAATGTATATTCAAACAAACTAAAAGGGATTTGGTCATTTTTTTTAAACTGCCAATTGAATTCTCAACTGCACACTGCATAGGGGTAAAGAGGAATTATGGATACACTTAACTAACTGTTTTGACCAGTTTCACTGTTCTTATTGTATTTGTGTAATTTCTGTCAAAATTTGTATGACTTTCTATGTTTTCTACAGTGTTAAAACTACTCACTGCACTAGCTGGAATTTGCCATTTGTAGTCCAGAATGCAAATTACAAGTCTGGTCATGTACATGAGTTGCTTGGATCATTTAAAAAATCACAGTCAAAACCTGACCACGAACTGTTTTTTTTTTTTGTTCTTATTAGCTTGCAAGCTATTTTGGATGTGCAATGGCTCCACTGCTGAATATTCATTGGTTTGAAGTTACATCTATCTCATTATTTTTAAAAAGGGTCCTCAAGAACTCTCACTGGAATCATTGTTAGGTGACATTACATATTTTTCACTTGGCCAGATCAGAACTAATTTTTATATCAATGAAGTCTGTTCAAAAGGCACAATGCCACAATGATAATTTACTACAAACAAAATAAACCAGATGTAAGACTGGAGATCAAATATTGGCTGCAATGTTGCAAGTTTGAAAAGAATTAGTGATCTTTCCCTGGTTTCCTCTGCTCTTCAGCATGCCAGAACAAATATCAGAGTACACACAACACACAGTCCTTTTCTTTTCTTCATGTCTTAAACCACATATGAGGTTAGTAAGTCAAGCATTGTGGTTCTATGTATAAAGTAAAATATAGCAGACGTGTTACAAGATAATTTACATAAAATTAGAAATCGACAGTTCATCTGTGATTTAAGCAGTAAATAATATTGATAAAACAGGGAAAATTCTTAACTTTCCTGAACTTATTCAACTCACGCTTGCATGTTGGATTCACAAGGAATTTTCCTAAGAGAATTCAGTGGAAAAAATCCCAGACATTTGGAAGCATAATATTTATCATCTTAGAGTTATTACCTCAAATAAATCCAATGAACCACTTTTAAAAAGCATTCACCTTCCTACACTGACTGTAAAGGAAGGCAAAGCTGGATTTCTGGAGTTGGTATCTATATTGCAAACATTTAGCTCAGAGCAAATTGATCACACCTGTAGCAATTTCTGTGGGAAGGATATAAACAGCAGAAAACTAGAAGGGTAGAAAAATAGAGGCAAAAGAAAATCAGTATTTAGGTTTATGGCAAATGAATGTGAGAAAAGATACATCTAAAATATTAATTGCCAGGGGAGGAAAAGGTTATGTAAGAAAAAAGTTCAGGAGAATAGCTCAGGAAGAAGAGCCTGCAGAATTAAAAAGAAACAGACAGCGTAGGTAAGATTCAGCTTGCCTACATCCACACAGAGTGTAGTTGTGCTTATGAATCTTGGCATCATCAGTATCCACTGTAGTCAATGGAGAGCTCGTCAACAGAGCTAGCAGGACCTAAAGAGCTTTTATCTAGTCTCCTGTACTAGATATCTAATTTAATTCAGCTGAATTACTTTCTGATTCCAGTGCTTAAGTCAAACGGGTACCTATTTCAGTGTACCTGAATGTGAGTGCTATATGAGATGCTCTTGCATATCTTTCCTGGGATGCAGCAGAAGAGCATCAACTGTAGAAGAGCATTAGTTTTCATATTATTTCATTATATACTTAGGTTCTCAATCATATCTCCCATGTAAGTATCTCGGATACTACAGGGTATTTGAAATGGCTTTAGAAATGTATGCATGCTCAATCAAATTGAGATCCAGCTTTGTAGGGACTACAAGAGGAAACCTGGCTATCAATAGACACCTAAATTTAGATGTCCGAGTCTGAGGCTAAATCGCTTTTCTTAAGTTAAAGTAAGTAGAATTCAATCTTATGAACTGAGAAAGGTTAAGAAGCCATAGCACTGAATAAAGTATGTCAGAAAGAAGATTAGAATAACTGAGAAACTTGTATCTAAAAAGTAAACAAGCCCAGGCACTGAAGAAATATGTCAGTAAAAGATGTGACTAGACACATTAAGAAAGAATAACACTATTTTCACACAGTAGATGTTGGTTGCATGTTCAGATATAAACCACATTTCTATTTGTAATCTGTAGTGATCTGGATTTATATGCGGGTGGGAGATCTTCAGCTGCATGACATTATAAAATGACAGACTAGAAATTCTTTGCCAGAATCCATTAGCTGAAGAAGGTTTTGACTAATCATATACGAAAGTGCTTCTTAGCAATGTAAATAGTAATCTCAGTATCAAGCAAAACTATAAGTAGTGTTATTTATCTTATTATTCTGTTCAGTTAAAATTACACTCTCTTTCACAGTTTCATATATTTAAGGTCATTATATTTACAACATATAACATGAAGAAGGCCATCAAGAAAGCTAGATTTTTTTCAGCAGATGTGATTGGCACTCTGGAATTAGGGACTAAAAGAAGCAGATTTTTCTGATAAAATGATCATTAGAATGAAAGTTAAGTATATTGACAAGTGAAGCTCTAGGTATAAAGGTTAATAGCCTTTTTTGATGAATGTATCTCGCTTGGCGTTATGTCTGGAAATGGGACACTGCTCCATTTAATACCCTTTTCACATCACAAACAGTTTCTTTTCAACCATAACAGCTAGAAAACATTCTACTAAATAAAACAGCAATTTCTAGAAGACAGCTTCTCTCAATGAGTAGATTGGTGACCTCACACAGTGCTGAGAAACTGGCTGCAATTATTGTCTTTTCACACACATGCACACAAATTTGAACTTCCGTTCATTTTGCTAGCAGTTTGGCAGCATTTTGAAATACACATGCATATATATTTTTTCTAACTTGAGTTACAACTATCTAATGGTCAACAGGAGGACTGTTACGAAAATGTTGAAGTATTGATAAGAGTATCTGAAACCTTGCACTCTTGTCCTTTCTGTTTCTTCTCACTTGAAAGCATTTGTAATAGCATTTGGAGGCAGATATGACATATTAGTATATATAACCTCTTTCTGAAGACTACAAGAATAATTTTGATTTTACCATTCCCTAGTCTTAGTTGTTGGTTTGTTTGTTCGTTTTTTAACATACCTCCTCCCCCCCATTATTTAATTTGCTTGCTTATACGTATTTATAATGTTAGTTGAAACATGCATGCCTGTTATTTACAGGGCATATTTATCTAAGCATAGCTTGATTCATGTTAGAAAATGGTTACTTTTAATTCAAGGAAAAAAATACTATTAAACACAAACATAACCATTAATTTTTCATATAAGGAAAATAATAACACTGACTGCTAAACTGCCTAAGACAGTAATAGTTTCAACACAGATAACTGCGTGGTTCCATGAGTTACGGTAATCTGCGTCTGATATATTGTTGAAGAATAAAAGAAAGACATAAACCAAAGGAGAATTGCAAGATTTTGCAAAAGACAAAAGTGAGAACTGCACATATTTTAAAAATTTGTGTAATCCACAAGAAACTTCTGTTCAGTGCCCTGTATTGTGGTGCTGCCTGCTCTATGCAGACTTGCAAGTGAACTAAGGAAACTACAGGAGATTCTAAAATATAATTTAGATTTCTGTATGTCTTCATCATATAATCAGGTTATTATCCAGTGGCTGGTTTAAGAATTATTCACTTTTAACCGATGAGAAGGCTTTTGATAGAGTTGAATTGTACATCTGCTGTTTCTAAGAAATTCGATTTCAGGTCTGCTTTGTTAGGAAAACTGGAATATGTCCGTTTTTCTGTAGTAAACTCCTGTGTTGACAGATTTCCTATAGGAAACTACTATAATACTGCTATGTAACTCATTCTTACAAAATATATATACTTATGGAAGCAGAAGAAAGAGTAACTCCCCCTTTCCCTTCTTTGCTGGAACTTGCAAAATATGTAGCAGTTTAAATACCTAGGACAATTTCATACGCCACCGTTTGGTCTAACAATACAATTTAAAGTACCTATTGAGGGCCAGAAGAAGTTTTCCATATGTTGCCTGGTATATTTAGGGAACTACTAAAGAGGGTAGTTTCTTTAGACGACTGTAAAAGCGTTAAGGGTAAACTTGTTCTCTAGGCATGTTCACTGCACATTTGCTAGAATTAGATGCATCTTTCTTTATGTCTTTTTGAGCTTTGATTGAGTGCTTTGAAGAACAGTTCATTTACATCTGAGTTTAAGTTAATTTTCTAAATAGACTTTAAATCTGAACTTTTCTTACTGTTAGTGACATCTTTGTGATTTTGATTGGCCCTTCGATTTTCTTAATCTGCTGACAGTAAAGACTAGCTAACATTAAATAATGAATATATAGAATCATAGAATCATAGAATAGTTAGGTTTGGAAAGGACTTTAAGATCATCAAGTTCCAACCCCCCTGCCATGGGCATATGAAATATTTATATAAAATTACATGGTAACAATTTAATCCCAGGACTGTGAAATAGTCTTCAGTAATAAATCTATTTCAGATTTGCTAGGATTCACAAAAGTAGGAATGTCTTTATTAGCAGTCAGAAAGATTATTCTTTATTATTAATTTTTTTCTAATGTAAATCTTATGTAAATACTCATGTTATTTCAAAATATTAACTGAAGAAATATGACTCATACATTTTCTAAAGTTTAATAAATATGAAACAAAACAGACAAAACCATTATGTCTTCTTCAAAGCCATCTCTAATTCAATAATGAA